AGTCACTACAGACCCTGTGGAAAACATCTACTCTTATAGGTTTAATAATAGAATAAATAAATAGATTCCTAGTAACATATGAATTATCAAAGCTGGATCAAGAAGATTTAAAACTGCTGAAAAACCCAATTTCAATTCATGAAATTGAAAACATAATTAAAACTTTAACAACGAAGAAAAGCTCAGGTCCAGTTTGATTCACTGCAGAATTTTACAAGAAATTCAAAGAAGACTTAATGCTGACACTTTTCAAACTTTTCAATGAAATTGAAAGGGAAGCTTTCAATCCAGAGAACTGGGGCTGCCAGAGGTGAGTTTCAGCACACCAGCACGGACTCCAGGAGAGTTTAATATCATCACTCCCAGCAGTTAACTGCCCACACAGTTTCCAGCCACACAAGACTGGGCTCTGCAGGTTTCTGGCCTGGCTGGGCCATGCCCAGCGAGCCTTCTTTCAATCCAGGGAACTGATTGCCAGAGGTGAGTTTCACCACACCAATATGGGCCCAACGAGAGTTTAAGATCATCGCTCAACAGTTAACTGCCCATCCAGCTTCCAACCACACTAAACTAGGCTTGGAGGTTTTGGGGATCTGACTAGAATGACGCCCAGTGACCTCAATCAATCACGGATGCTGAGGGCACTTGAAGTGCGTTCCAATGCATTGGTGCTTGCCCAGGGAGAGCTTTGGACCATCACCTACAGTGGTTAGGAGCCCACCCAGCTTCCTGGAACACTGGCGGTGGCACAGGAGGTCCTATGGGCCTGACTGGACCACACTCAGCAACCTTCATTCAGTCCCAGGAGCTGAGGGCATAGGAGGCAATTTCCAATATGCCCAGCTTTAAAACATCACTTGAAACATGGAAATACAGAAAAATGACAAGACAAAAGACCAAAATGCAATCTCAAACCTCCAGCCCATCCCAAGAAACCCTAGGAGCCATGGATATACAAGAAAATATATGCCATACACCTGAAATTTGGCACCAAGGAAGACACCAAAGCAGAGGTGTCTGGCTTTTAAATTTGCAAAGCCTTAGTTACGAGCCTTTTTCCAGTTGTTGCCACTACCTTTGACCTCCATGCAGTGCCATTTCTGCTGTCCAGCACCTTTGTTAACAATGACTGGCCCTGAGCACAACTTCCCATGATCTTCAATAAACATAGCTGCTTATACTAAGTGTACGTTTGGCAATTGTTTTCTCACACACAAGAGCCTGGACTATTATTAGCCAGCTCACCTGTAACAACAATGGCCAGCCTGAGATGTACTGTGGTGGGTTGACATGCATCCCCCAAAATGTACGGCCCTGCATTCTCAGTATTGACCTCATTTGGAAAATATGATCTTGACAGATACAATTAAAAATCTCAAAATGAGATTATCCTGGACTTTGGGTTAAATCTGAGGACAAGAATCTGTATATGAATAAAGACAGGGAGAACGAGATGTGAGGATGGAGACAGCTCAGCAGCACCTTCACCAAAGCTGAAGAGGACCCTGCTGGTAAGGACAGCCCTATACTTTTGACTGGACTCCTGATCTACAGGAAAGACTACATTTCTATTCCTTTTCCTGGTGTTTTCTCAGGGCAGGCACATGAAGCTGATACCAACTATCCAGAGCCATACTGGGTCAATGTAGGCCTCACAATATAGTAATGTAGTAACAGAATATAGCTACTGAGTAAAACAGGAAACCCTGAGCTTAGGGACAAGGAACAGGGAAGGCTGCTACTCACACTGGTGGAGGTTGCCAGACAGCTTCACAGTCTCAACACAAACACTGCCAGGAGTTGAAAACCCACACTGGAGAACATATTGCTGCAGCTATGACATTCCAACCACAGACAAAAAGACCTAAATGATCACAAAGCAGCCAACTGCCAAACCAAATTGAGGAACTTTTCACAAAATAAACGTGTTACTTTGTATCAGGGTCATGCCAGGACCAGGATACTAGGACAGCTATACTAGTACAGAGTGAAATAATGAGGACATAAGCTCTGGAAGGGTCCCTCAGTCAGGACAACATGGGGAGAGATGGCCACCCTCCAAGTGTCTGAGGATTAGCTAGCATCAGAATTGGTTTTTTTTTTTTTTTTCCTTTTTGAGACAGGATCTCACTGTATTATCCAGGTGTTTTTTTTTGTTTGTTTGTTTGGTTTTTTTTTAGTATCAAGGATGGAACTCACAATCTTGCATTGCCAAGCAGGCACTTTTGCCGCTGAGCTCAACCCCTAGCCCCTATCCAGGTTAGTTTTAAACTTACTATGTAGCCCAGGCCGCCCTGTAATTAACAACAATCCTCCTGCCTCAGCCTAACAAGTGCTGGAATTATAGGCATGTGCCACAACTCCCAGCTTGAGGGCTGATGCTTAAGCATACAGACCACACAGGTGCATGGGGCATTGTGATTGGGTTAATGTTCTGCTGTTGCCACCTGGAAGTTCTTAATTTTTTTTCCTTTTACAAGGAGTTCATAAATAGATAATCAGTCTTGCTCCTAGCCTGGCATTACTCTGAATGAATTTGCAAACTGGCATTCCTATTGTTAATTTTTCACTGAACCAACAAGGTCAAGAAAGTCACTGTATGAGGAAATTTTTTAAAATGTGGTGTCTGAGGAAAATCTATCTTTGCCTTCCAATCTACATTTCCTGCATAAGTCAGGCCAATATGCTTGGTTTACTCTTTTAACATTTTTATGCAGATAGTTTGTTGTGCACTGTGGTTTCAGATGTGCAATAATTTGTATAATGGATTATTCCCAAGTATGCCTTAAACAAGACAAATGTGTTTTTTCTATCTAGTTCCCTGCCTTAATATGTAATAAATTTAAGCAAATTTCTATTGTGTGTATTTGTAAACTACAAAGTAAAAAATGAACATTGTGTGGAGTTTGTATTTTGCATATGCATGGTGAGAAATAAGTTTGAAATAAACCTGTAGTATTTTATCTGGGAAAAAAAATGTGGTGTCTGTGATTTATTACCTCTAAGATTCTTACCACCAGATCCATCTTTGGGTTGTCAAGTCCCCACCCCACCCCACCGGTGCTGTCTCCATGCTGATAACTTCATGTGCTCCATCTGGTCACGAATGCTGAAGACCAGGGCTGGGGACACTGTGTGAAACCACAGACCTCATTGTAGGATGTCCTATTTCCTGATGGAAAAGAGCAAAAAGCATCCAGTGTGTTCCTACCAAAAAAATTCAGCTCTTGACAACACAAGATCCTTTTCTTCACACCCTCTTCTCCCTACCCTGCTTCTCAATGGGGCCAAGTATTCACAAGACAGAAGCAAACTCACAGGATCAATGTTTCAAAGGCCAGGGAAGTGCTGGTTAGGAGCACTGTGCAACCTTCCCAGGAGTCTAACTAGCAAACTGTTGGGCCTTAAACCTCCCAGGCCTGATGGCTTATGGATATACATGGACTTTACTCACTCCTGTGTGCACACAGAAAGTACTCATAGACATGCACATGAACACTGACCTGCTCTCAAGTGTGCACACATGGGTATTAACACTCAATCACATACATGAGGTACTCAAATATTACAATTATACACATATAGGCACTCACACATGAGTACATGCATGCACAGGAACAGCAGCACATAGAATACACTTCTAGACTTGTGCCCCAACCCATACACATGATTCTCCAACCATGCATGCACATGACACACAGATACACAGCGTGCACATGTGGCACGCTGCCAGGCTATGCTGCTTAACAGAACTGGTATTAGGCAAGCTGGTATCAGATCAGCATGCTGAGGGCCTGAGAAGTGACCGAAATCACTCAACCACCAGAAGAAGCAATCAATCCAAAACCAGCTTAGGGCCTATTTTAAACAGTAAAATCACCAAGGAAAGATAAAAATATGGGGAAAATATGGCACTTAGACCACAAAAAAGATGCTTGTTTACAATGAGCTAAACAAGAATGCAAAGCATCACCAAGCTCCGCCTTTGATGGTAACAAGCACTAAGTTGGGGCTAAAGCGATCCCTCCATTCACATCCTCAAGCAACTGAGAGCACCCAATAGTGAGTAGACGAACTCCACTGCTTTGTCACCATGAATCTGGAAGACATTTTAGTAGTTGACTGGCTAAGGTTTGGGGAAGGAGGGAAGACTTCTGTTCTGGGACCTTAACAGAACTGCCAGTTTGCCACGGTAGCTGAGTGTTGTTACTGGCAGTTTCTTATTATTGGCAGTAGGCAGCTGCTGGTTGTTTCTCATTATTAATAGTAGTTGCTGGTTGTCACTGTGCAGTTACTGTCACTGGTAGGTACTGGTAGTTGCTATATATCACTGGTTATTGTTAGTAGTTTGTAGTTATCACTAGTTGTTACTGGTAGCTGCTGGTTGTCACTGGTTGTGATTATGGTACTTTCAGTCATTTAAAGATACCCATAGAATAATCTGACCTAATGCACAGGTTGAGCAAGCCAATGTTGTTCGATAGTCTAAGGGCCACATTTTTAACACATCCATCTGCCTTTTGTTGATAATTTTTCTGTTTAAAATAAATCAAAAGACAATTTACAAGACAGAGTACATGTTTTTTCTTCTGATATAAATGATAAAATGAAAAGCTGTTCACAGCCTATGTTCAAAAGTCACACATTCCCCAGAAGGCAAAGACCTGCCTGTTGGACGGGTCCTAAAAAAGCCAGCTGGACAAAGGCATCAAGAGGAAAGTCTGTCAGTATTTTAGGTGATCAGTGCTGAGGCATAGCCAGCATTGCCTAGGAGTCCTCTATCCTACATGTACCTTTGTTCAATTACATCTAAACTGGAAGGTGGAAACGGCCCACAACAGTACTGAGGAAGCCGACCTTGGGAAGATGTATAAGCATGAAGCACCTGCAGCTTCCATACCTGCCCTCCACCGCTGCAGCCTGACTCTGTGCATGGCAGTGCCTGGGCTAGAGTCCCAGGGATACAGCTTTACTGTCTTCACATTTGAGGATCTCACCAATGGGAGAGGTATTTTACTTTATTTTTTATTACAGTGTGTTCAGGAAAGAACAAAAGTGACTTCTGTATGGAAAATCATGTTTAGATACATGTAAAACTACTGACAGTTGAATAGCAAAAGCATCCATGATACCACTAAGAGCTTCAATCACTTATCTCTGCAGTACACATGACACACCTCATACAAATGCTCACTCTTCTTCCGCAGGCCTGGACAGACTGCTTGAAGCTTCATGCCTATCCTTGCTCTGTTCTGCCATGGGGGTCCTGCTGTGTCCCCCTACCTCCAGGTTCTGCCTCCCACTCCTCTGTGTTCTGGGATTGGCATCCACACTCCAGGATACTGTCCTCATCCTTATCCTCACTGTCCTCACCCAAGAGGAAACTCCTGGGGGAGGTGTCCTGGTCTGCCTGGGACAAGGCTTTCCTTCTCCTCCTCACCCACTGTGGCACCTTAGCCATTTGCACTTGCCCAGGTGATACCACCCTCGTGTCCTGGAGTCCTTTTTCCTTCTTCCGTTTGTATTCCATTATTTGTTTGTTGAGTGCATTGTGATCAATCCCACAGAGATAACCATGTGCAGCAGGTCCTGGGGGGTCATGTGGTGACAGGGCATCAGGGTCCCTGGCAGAAAAAAAGAACCTTCAGAGCACAAGCCAAGCCCCAAACCAGTATGAAAGACCACCACAGGGCACACCCTACATCTCTGCACAGATATATACTTCCTCCTCAACATCTATGTATCTGAAGTGACTATAGACATGATTATGGCCAGTGCATCAGGCAGTGAAAAGGAAATATAGGTGGGTCTATGAATGCTATCATTTAGGATACTGATGCACCACAGACCAGTTTTCTTGGAAGCAAAACAGCACAGTTATGTCATCCTCTGACCCTTGAATAATCAGCTGTCAAAAGTCCCCATGCTCCTGGTTTGACTCCCTGACTTTTCTCTCCAATGCTGCCCACTATGAGTCCAGCATGTGCCAGGCTTGCTATAGTGTGGGGTCTTTGCTCTGGCATCTGTAGATTGGCTAAACTGCAAACTTATTTCTGGGCCATAGGAATTCAGGGATCCAGGTGCCCAAAGATATGGATGAAGTTTGTGCCCTTGCTGTCCCATGCTTGGAATAGTGACCCCCCACAAGAACTCACACCCCGTTCTTGAGACTCACACCCCCCGTTTTATCTTCCTCAAGCCTTCCTGCACCCCCACCAGTCATTTGAACACTTCTTTTCTGTACTTTTTTCCTAATTACAAAGCAGTCATCTCTGACAATCAGCCTCCGCTAGCACAACACATGCTCTGTACCAGGGACTACTCACTGATGCTTACAACTACATCTAAGACCTGGAGTAGGCCTTGAATACAACAAACAGTGAAAATGTACTGAGCAAATGAAGTGGAGGTGAGACTCTCTTCCTTGCTAACTGAGTCGTAGCTTTGAACACATGAGCCAGTACATGTGGATACCTGCTGACCTCAGAGCAAATACCAAGGGCGCCACACAGCTAGTCAGGACATGGGCCCCTTTAGTTGCTGCGAAAAATAGCAATTCTATGCGTAAGAATCTACCCTAGGGAATGAGAACACACATCCATACCTGAAATGATCTTGTGCCAAGTTGTCTGTTTCATCCATGGGCCCAAAGTCAGCTACTGCCAGCAACTGATCAACCTGAAAAGGAAGCACAGGGGAGAGACGTAGGTAGGCTATGCCTCCCACTCCCAGTACTCAGTGTCACATTCTGGAATATAACCCAACTGCTGGCTTCCTAGGATGGACTTCACCTAATTCTCTCCATGGAGTCTTCCGCCACACTAGGACCTGCTCTATAGCTTGAGCTTTTAAACATTTTACTATCACTTTAACTTGCTGCATTTTCTTTTTTTTTAAAGGAAAAAAAAAAAAAAACAGAAAAAGGGTAGAAATACATAATTTTTTAAAAAGTAAGAAATCATACGTTGATAAATTACATGTTATCCTCTTATAAATACTTGTTCAAGTTACAAAAGTAAAGCATACAAAGTGGACATTTAAACAGCAAGACTGCAAACAATTCTGTTCAACTACTCAACAAAAACTTAGTAATATGGTTATCAATCCTACACACTTAAACATACATGCAGTTATATCCTTTAGAGTATTTTCTTTTCCTCTCTTTTTTACAATACCAATTACACATTTTGGGTTTCATTACTCTTATATTTCTTATTACTTTGTACACTAAAGACACAATGTGGTATTTATAAATATGATTATTTATTTCACTAATGGGGATAGCCTCAAGTTGTCTACATTTGTCTATGAAGGCCTCAAGATCATTCTTTTTATAGCTGAGTAATATTCCATTGTATAAAAATATCACATCATTTTTATTCACTCTGTGGTTGATGGGCATCTTGGTTGTTTCCAAGATTTAGCTATTACAAATTGTGCTGCTATGAACATGGGTGCACATATATCACTGTATGACCGTTCCAGTTTTTCTGGGGAAATACCCAGGAGGGGAATAGCTGGATTGAATGGAACTTCCAATCCTAGTCTGAGAATTCTCCATACTGATTTCCATAATGGCTGCACCAGTCTGCACTCCCACCAACAGTGGAGCAATGTTCCTTTTTCCCGCATAGCCTCGCCAACATTTGTTATCAGTTGATTTCTTGATGGCAGCTATTCTTTCCACAGTGAGATGGAATCTCACTGCTGTTTGAATTTGCATTTCTTGAATGACCAATGATGGTAACATTTCTTCATGTATTTATTTGCCATTTGTATATCTTCATCTGAGAAAGGTGTGTTCATCTCAGATGCCCTTTTTTGGAGATGGTCTTTGAATTTTGGGGGCTTGATGTTTTTCAATTCTTTATATGTTCTGGATATAAGTCCTTTGTCAGAGGGGTTGCTGGCTAAAATTCTTTCCCATTCTGTGGGTTTTCTTTTCACTTTACTGGTGATTTCTTTTGAAGTTCAGAAGCTTTTCGAAAATGAGATCCCAGGTATTGATTCTTTGAAGTGTTTCCTGGGCAGTTTGCATTTTGTTTGTGAATTCTCTGCCTACCCCTAGGTCTCTAAGACTTCTATCTACCTTGTCTTCCAGTAGATTTAGTGTTTCTGCTTTAATATTTAGGTCTTTGATCCATTTAGACTTTAGTTTTGTGCATGGTGATAGGCATGGATCTAGTTTTAGTCTTTGGCATGTGGAGAGCCAATTTTTCCAACACCATTTATTAAAGAGGCTATCCTTCTTCCAGTGAACATGTTTAGCCCCTTTGCCAAGTATCAGGTGGCTGAGCATCTTTGTAACAGTGGTTGCATCTTCTCATCTGTTCCATTGAGTCTCAGGTCTATTACTTTGCCAGTACCATGCTGATTTTATCACTGTGGCTTTGTAGTACAGTTTCAAGTCAGTAATTGAGATGCCTCTTGCCTTGCCTTTGTTGCCCAGAATTGCCTTTGCTATTCTAGGTTTCTTCTGTTTCCAAATGAATTTTAGGAGTGTTTTCTCTAGATCTGTGAGGTATGTTAATGGTATTTTGATTGGGATTGTGTTAAATCTGTGTAACAGTTTTGGGAATATGGTCATTTTCACAATGTTGGTTCTTCCTAGCCCCAAGAGGAAGGAATATCCTTCCATTTTCTAATATCCTCTTCAATCTCCTTTTTTAGACTAGTATAATTTTCAGCTTATAGGTCTTTTACATTCTTAGGCTGATTCCTAAGTATTTCTTTTTTTTTTTTTTTTGTCTTTTTCTTTTTTATCGGTACCAGGGATCAAATTCACGACTGCCTGCTTGCAAGGCAGGCGCTTATGCCGCTGAGCTAAATCCCCAGCTCCCAAGTATTTCATTGTTTTAGATGCCATTGTGAAGGGCGATATTTCCATATTTTCTCTCAGTGAGTTTTTTTTTGTGTGTGTGTGTACAGGAATGCTACTGATTTTTCAGCATTGATTTTGTATCTAGCTACACTGCTGAATTTGTTTATTACTTCTAGTAGTCTGTTAATGGAGTTTTTTAGGTCTTCTACATAGAGTATCATGTCATCTGGAAATAGTGATAGTTTAACTTCTTCCTTGCCTATCTTTATTCCTTTTATTTCTCTCTCTCTTATCTGATTGCCCTGGTTAGTGTTTCCAGCACTATATTGAATAGGAGTGGTGATAGTGGACATCCTTGTCTTGCTTCTGATTTTAAAGTGAAAGCTTTCAGTTTTTGTCTATTTAGAATAATGTTGGCTGTTGGTTTGTCATAGATGGCCTTTATAAGATTGATGTACACACCATGTATTCCGAGTTTCTGAAGGGTTTTTATCATGAACATGTGTTAGACTTTATCAAAAGCTTTTTCTGCATCTACTGAAATGACCATGTGGTTTTTGTTTTTGGCTGTGTTGTTGTGGTATATTACATTCATTGATTTGCATATGTTAAACCATCCCTGCATTCCTGGAATGAATCCTACGTGGTCATGATGTATAATCTTCTTGATGATTTGCACTACATTTTCTTTGATGTGTAAAACTTTGGAACTTCAGAAAGATCGATGAAGAACCATTTAAATACCAGTTGAATGAAATAACATATTCATGGAAACAATATGGACTCTCTCTCCAACTCTTGAAAATCACAGGAAGGGAACTGGCTCCCCAGAAGCAAAGTAAGTGCCCAGGAATGGGAAATCCAGGGAGAAATGGCAGCAGAGTCCATGGTTGTTGCAAACTATAAAAATGTAGGATTTTGCTCCATGGGGACTCTTTCCACAGGGCAGACAACAGCAAGAGAGGGACTCAAGTATAGGTACCTGCTATGTCACTATAGTATACTTCATTACACCCAACTTGGGGAAGGGTTGATTATTTAAATCTCAAACTCAGAACAACTAAAAAAAACCACTTGACTTCAGGGCTCCCAATATTACCTTCCCACAGTGACTGAATAAGAGACATACATGGGATACAGCCATGGATAGGGACTGAGCTAGAAAGAGATATCCTGAGAATTCTAAACTCAGGCCAAGAAGGACAAGGGTCCCTTGCTCCAACATAGTGAGAAGCCAGGCCCAGCTGAGCTGCTCTTAGAAACAGCTGGGTCTCAAAGTGCCTGCCAGCATTAAGTATTTAAATCATTACCTTGATGCCTACATCCAACACAGATCTGAGGTCTGATGGCCTTCTCTATTCACCAATATAAATAAAGACACTGCCACAACCCAGAATAAAAGGAGGGATCTCTAGAATAGAGATGGCACATCATAAACCCAAAGATCAGAAGGCCAGATGGAGACAAACTAAGAATTGCTATACTCCAAAACTGATAATTCAAAATACACACAAAAATTAAAAGCATTCCTATACACCAATAATTCACCAAGAAAGAAACAAGGAAATAATACCTTTCACAATAGCATCAAGAAAAATTAAATAATTGGGGATTGACCTAATCAAGGAAGTAAAAAGCCTCTAAAACAAAAATTTTAACATTCTAAAAAAGGACATCAAGAATCTTCGCATCAATGTTCATTAATGACATTGGCCTATAGTTCTTTTTGGTTGGGTCTTGCTCTGGTTTTGGTAATAGAGTAATACCTGCCTCCAGGAATAACTTAGGGAGGATTGTTTTCCTTTCAATTTCATTGCAGAGTCTGAAGAGTATTGGCGTTAAATCTTCTCTAAATTTCTTATAGAATTCAACCGTGAATCCATCAGAACTTGGGCTTTTCTTTGTTGGTAAGTTTTATAATCACGTTTTCAATTTCAGTAATTTAGTTGTTCTGAGTTCCAGGTTTAAATAATCAACCCTTCCCCAATTTCAATTTCAGTATTGGGTTATTCAAAATTGTTATATTTTCTTGAGTCAGCTTTGATAATTCATACATTCCTAGAAATCTGTCCATACCCTCAAAAAATTAGGATAGGAAGTCCGATTCAATCCAGCTATTCCCCCCTTGGGTATTTTCCCAAAAAAATTACATAGGTCATGTTACAGCAATATATGTGTACCCATATTTATAGCAGCAGTTTGTATTAGCTAAATCTTGAAAACAACCAAAATGCCCATCAACCACAGAATGGATGAAAAAGATGTAGTATTTTTATACAATGGAATATTACTCAGCTTTAAAGGATGATCTTGAGGCTTTTATAGGTAAATGGAAGCAACTTGAGACTACACTCGTAAGTGAAATAAATCAGACTCACGTTTGTAAATATCATATTGTCTCTCTAGTATAAAAAATAAGTAATAATAAAAAGTGAAAGAGTAACAAGATTCAAAATGTACAACAGATAATATTGTAATAATGAGAGGGAAAGTGCCCAAAAAGAAAGAACAACTTGTAAGCATACACACATACCTGTATGTGTAAGTTACATACATTACATAGATAACCATATTACTAATTCTCCGTTAGTTCATCCATAAGAACAGTTTGTGCTGTCATTGTTTGATTGGTCTTTTTATGCTTTGATTCTGTAACTTGAACTACTACTTCTAAGATAACAATGTGTAATATATTAACTAGTGTTGACTTCTTACTGTTTTACTTTTTTTAAATTCAGTATTTCTACCCTTTTTTCTGTTTTGCTTTTTAAAAATAAAAAAATTAAAAGAGAAAAAAAAAGAGACATAAAAATAGTTAAAAAGAAGAGAAAGAAAAAGAAAGAGGACATCAAGAAAT